TTTAATTAATGTTACGTGCAAGTTACGGTACAACTGTTTTCAAAACTGAAAGATTGTTTTCAAAAAAAAAAAAAGATGATATTTTCATGCGTGATGTAACTTCATGTAATTCTATCAGAGCAGTGATGAATCATCTCTGTAGTTATTCAAATGTTGGAATGGTCAAGAATCGACCCAGATATGAATCCCTTCGATAATATAATATGGAAGGCAATCTGTAAACGTGTTCCTTGCATCACTACCAATTACTTGAGACTTCAAGGAACTAAATATTTTTTTCTCCGACAGCTGACCTTGCCAGAAATAATTCTGTTTGTACAGATTCATTGCAACGTTATCGGCTAATGAGATACTCAACATTTTCCTGTTAGAGGACTTTGAGACAGGGGATTCGACCTTACAAAGAAGTTTTACAAAAAACAAAAATGATTTAGACACCAGAAGAATATCAAAAATTGATTGAGCAATCAAACAGGGGAGCAGAAATGGATATTTTCATTTTCCATGTGCAGTGATAATTTGAGCAGTGGCCAAAAATTATACAAAATGAATACTATTTCAGTATATCTCTATGATAAAGCTGTTCCTGAAGTTAATTTTACCACAGAAGACGTAATTACCACTGATTTCATTGATGGTTTCTTCACAAACAACTTCTGGTTTCTTTCTGTCCCAAATAAAATATCCGACAAAATGTATTCTGTACTGACGGATGCCTAGGAAATGTCAAAGGTCCTGGTATCAATCATGACATGAAGTATATTTATCGCGATAAAAAAGATTTTTGAAGACACTCAGCGAAGAGTTAGGTCATGTTCTGAACCTACACATACTCCAGTAATTTTTACAGTGACGACGATACGTCTGCGTTATCATTACGTAGTCTTGAAGCACTGGAAAAGATTTGTCATCCCTGAATGTTATTGTACAAAAATTTCTTTTACATCAGTGTTTCGCTTTGCTCAAGAACCGATAATGTAAATTTTAAACACATAAATCCTGTGTTGTGTTATATAAACTTCGTAAGGACCCTGGTTCGAATTCCGTATGATCGAATGAGTCTTAGAGTCGAATTTGATACACTGTTTATTGAAAGCGTCAGTCTTTATTTTGTACTAGAGTGAGTCTTATTTGTTACGTTTCTAGTTCGTGTGAAATATCGATTGTTCTATTTCGTAAATATTTAGATATATACATATGACTAAGCTCTTTGATATTATAAGCTTGGGAAAATCCCAGTATCGCTGCGATAAAAATAAATTTTAGCCCAAAAAATTCATTTTTTTTTTAAATTTTTAAAAGCAGAAAATATTTTCTACGTAAATTCATTCTGAAATTTCATAAAATTACAACTCACTCATGTGTTGTAATTTTATGGTAAGTCAGAGACGAGTTACCGATTCATGATGCACTCTTAGGGAAGTCTTACTAATGGAAAATTTTATTCTCAAAGTACGATACATTATTCATACAATGCTCATCGCATACAATTCCTGTTTAAAATTAATGTCGTCCTATTTCCATGTTAAATAGCTTCATTGTAACTACAGTTCTTCTATTTCGGAAAGAAACTTACTTTAGATATTTGTAGTTGACACGTCACAAAATGTCCGCAGATTTGGATGTGTTCTTAGGCATTCTGAACTTGTAAAGCTGTTGGTTGAAATCAGTAACAAGAAAATTAGCCGATTTCAACTTATATTTCATGAAATGCTGGACTAATGGGAGAGATCATAAATGCTTATAACTTTCGGATCGAAAACCCTCAAACGAAGTGATAAAGGAAAATAAGCTTGGACGTATTTTTCTGCAATATATTTAATTGATAAATCTTATAAATAAAATAACTGTGATGATAATATTAACTTTGTTTGTAACATACCGTTGTGTTTGACGGATAATGTATGAAATTCCGCAATAGTGTCTTAAGTTAGGCTTCCTTCCATATCCCCTTCAATCACTGTCAGACAGCTAACAGCTTCGTTTTAATGAATTACTAAAGAAAAAGATGATAGATCCATTCATCGTCATTATAAGTTTCGTCTCAACAAACCTATTAACTGTAGCATGATTAAACCTTAAAATCTGGGTTAAAAAAGTATGTAAATACGATAGAATTAACTCGTAGAGGCTCGAGGCTTACCTTGTTATAGTGGAAGTGTCACGATTTGAAAACTGTCATCTCGTATAAATTTTATACACATTTTCAATTCACAGGCCAACTTTAATAATTACTTTACATGTAGTCGATCGATCCAACTTAATTGCTTTCTTACATTAGTAAGCTTTGATTGTGATAGTTTAAATCGTGGATATCAACGTAACACCAGGGCAAACAAGAGTTTAAGTTTAATTGGGACAAATTTTGATAAGTATGTTAGTTTTACTTTCAGAACTTGCATTTTTAGGTACACAACGAAGATATGCCTGTATGCAATCTTTTTAAAGATACGAAAAACTACGCATAACTTATAAATCTTCTGTAAATAAAATGTGAAACAATCTTTGACCTCTAATGTTGTATCATGATTGTAATAAATCCTGGTGATGGAAAATTACACAAAGTTTGTAAATCTTGTTAAGTAGAGTACGTCATTATTTCTTCATATCTAGTAAAGTGAGTAGTTTATTTCCTAAGTACCATGTTGATAAGATTAAGAATGATACATTTCTCTTCGTTGAGACACTTTTTTAAGCTTAGAAAGTAGTGCATATGATAGCTGTTTCTCAAGACATACTCTGAACGTGGTAGATAAATTAATAGAACATCCTAAACATATACAAAAAGAACGTATTCATTCACACATGCCATCGGTTCGGTCGATAGCCTCTTTGAACCGAAAAAATTAGCCTTGACATAAAACAATAGTACATCAGCTTTCTTCGCATACACACAGCAGAATGGATTTAGTTTTAATAAAATATATTAGGAACAAAATTTATATTTAAATTAGATCACAACCACATAACATGAACTCTTTTTTTTTTACAAAAAAAAAACCCATTACGTCATTACGTGTTTGCACGCAAAAAGATTACGATCCACGGGCTGGACATTGCACGTGACTTTCTGTATAATTTACATAGTTGACATGCGCCAGTGTGTTCCTCCCCCACGTTGAAATTCACCATTGCACTAGAACTGTGTGCATTGTGCTCGAAGGATCGGGAGAAAATAGTCAAGTTGGCTCACCTGATGCAACAGAATTGTAGCCGTTTTTGCAGTAAAAATGTGGATTCCGAAAACGGGCGACATGAAAGTTGTAGCTTTCAAATCGTGAGGGAACAAGAACTGGGTGAAGAAATCGATAGTTTGTTCTATTATAGGCTAAGAAGAATGAAAATTCAAAATATTATACAGCATATAGTTTTTTAAGGTCAGGGGTTAGGAAGGATATTGCCAAAATTGAATAACATGACGCTTTCTAGATGACTGCAGCAAATTCCATTATTATTTGACGAGAATCAGTTCGAATTTATGATAAGTACAACCAAAGATAGACGACTTTATAGAATCAGTGGAAAATACAAATGTTTTGTCTCCGCATATATTTATTCTTTTGTTTCAGGAACGTATAATATGCCAAATTGGTAGCGTTTCAAAATGATATTTGTATGCGATTTTACTGAACTGCTTATATCTTGTACATTTTTTGTTTTGAAGAAAGTGTTCTTCTTCTTTGTAAAGTAATTTACATTTCATGATAGATAAATTGAATTTCAGACATTCAAAATATTATATCTGTTATCAGTATATATAAATAATATATGAAATCAGCGATAAATTTATATTATTAATAGGCGTTACAGGAATAATATTTGATTAATATAATTTAAGAAACGTCTTTCGAAAGAAAGAAAAATCAAAAATTTAAAATTACCTACTTTCCACGATACATATCGATGTTCAGAGTATGAAAACTGCATTAGAACAAAACACTGTCTGGTCGCGCATTGCCTGTTGCGTGCGTGTACTATTACACAGCGAAGCAAAATAGATTATTACGTGTTAACGCTGAACAGTGGTAACCCGAAATAGCGTAAGTCTCATCACACAACTCATATTTTCCGGACACCAGGGCGACGTAATATTCCGAATGAATTATCGTAATTCGTTGTCATACTGACAGGTTTGCTATTACACATTTTTGTTAGTGGTCACGGTTGGAAAATAGGAAAATGGCTAATCTTATTCGTAAATCTAATTTTTATTTACCACACTTCCATAATAGACAAATTTATGTATTTCTCTTTTCAATTTATTTTTATTCCTATGTTTTATCGTCTATTTATTGAGAGTTTTAACATTACTCTCTTTTATAGTTTTATTTACAGTCTATATTCCAACTTAATTTTTTTTTTTGACGTATGTACGTCTATATTGAAGGGTCATTCGGCAAAAAAGGAAAACGAAAAAGTGTAATCTGGTTACCTAGGAAACGTGTTTACTCGGCATTGTTGTTACCTATAAAACATTTCATTACATTACATTACTTTACATTACATTACTTTACATTACATTACTTTACATTACATTTCATTCCATTACTTTACATTACATTTCATTACATTACTTTACATTACATTCAGCTACCACAGACCCATCTTAAGCGTAACCAATTCAAGTTAAATAAGCAAAGTCTTAATCAAACTTATCTCAATTGTAAAGCATGTATGAAGGAAATATTTAGAATAAAGCCAATATATAAACTTCCTTTCCGTATAGACGTATTTACGTCAAATTTTCCGGAACCGTGGTTCCACTGACAACTTTTTCAAAGACCATTACGTCACTTCATTTGTACATTGTAATGAAGTGTACAGTGGAATCTAGATTTTAATTATGTCGGGAGTGGTACAGGTCAGTGAATCCTTTTATAAAAATGGTGAGTATAAGCTTGCATGAAAACAAAGGTGGATAAATCTGATTTGCCAGTTTGTTTTTTTCCCCAAGATTTGTTATAACTTTATCATTCGAGGAACCGGCCGTTGGATTTCAGGCATGATCTCGTCAACTGTGCCTGTGTATATAGCAGAGTCATCACCGCTGCGACTTCGTGGGAAACTTGTATCCTCTCATGTTGCCCTGATAACAATGGGACAGTTCATTGCTTCGTGTGTAGCTGGCGTTTTCAGCAGTGCGCCCCATAATGGTTGGAGGTTGGTGGATTGTGTGTGCCACATTTACACCATACTGCTTCGCTGTTTTATCCTCAGTTGTTGCATGGTCTTATTTTTGGCATGTAAATTTATATATGTTTTGCTTGTTGCCACACGTGTATCGCGTTATAGAGTAGACCTAAATTTCATATAAGAGTAGTTTCTATTAGTTCTCACCAGATGTCCTGTATAAGCATACTAATACTTGAGTCAGTTTAACAGACTTTTATTTTAAATCTGAGTTATTATTTCCCAATAAGTCGCTATTAAGGCAGCAAATTTGTAATGGATATGTTAGCTAGATTGTCAGGCCTGTAATTTTGATATTTTTTTTATACCTTTGCATCTATTTATTTTTTGTGTTTATACTATAATGAGTAGCAAAGGTTTATTTATTTATTTATTTAGTGTTCTGTCTGACGACAGGTCCATATGAACAGGATCCTTCCATCCTTTTCTCTTCTCGGACTGGGACCTGTTCATATACGTTCTTGGCAGATGATCCAGAAGTGGTTTGCCATTGCCTTCTTCTGTGTGTGAATGGAGTAATTGTTGGGATGCCACGGAGAAACCGGGGAAGCCCCCGGAGGAAAACTCCATACTTACATACAGACCACCATATTTATACTCACTGCCATGAGAACGTGAAATCTCATACAGTATAATTATATTTATCATTGGTATCATATTTATAGTAGCAGGACATTTGCATGTACTGAATTTTTCTTTAAAATGATGACGATTTTTTTGCAAATTTTTGTTACTAATCTATATATATATATATATCAATTGTAAAATATTAAATTTTTTCTTTTGTTTTCAGTTTATCAACAGTTCTTCTCTTTTATAAATGCTTCATTGTGGAGCTTTGCTTTATTGTGTCAAGTTATTAGCTAGCATGTTTGTTGTTTCCCTGCAAAAGGTGTGGCAAGCATGAGTGTGCCTGTATACATAGCAGAGAGTGCTTTTCCGGAAGTTCGCGGTCATCTGGTTACTCTGAACACCATATTCATTACCGGAGGTCAGTTCATTGCCTCTGCTGTATGTGGTGCATTTAGTTCTCATCCTCAAGGTTGGAGGTAAGAATGCATTATTTCAGGTAACATACGTAACATTTCAAACTCTTGAAAAGTGAATAATTAAATAAAAGTATGTTCGCGTTAAACTTCTGTTTGAGAAAATTTTTTACTCTACTCTCACAAATATTCGCTGTAAAAGTTTTTAACTTTTATTATGCATTTCATGTGCCATGGGACCACTATTCTATTCTGCACACTGTAAAATTCTTTCCTTGTCCACGATTTTCCGTTTTGTTTTGTGTTTGTGTTGGGATTCTGCCAGTATTATTCTATTCCAGAAGGGTTCCATGTACAAAGTCATTTGAGAAGCCTTATCATAAACATATTTTAATATAATTTTGAGGTGGTTTTGATTAGTGATCCTTGTCATTTCTAATATCACCATTACGATGAGCAGAAGTAATTTTAGAAAACAGAACATTGGTAATAATGAAGATGGCTGTTTTCTGGGTTGTTACATCGTATAAACTTCTACCAGACTAGTGCAACGACCCAGAAGACGACCATCTTCAGGCTCAATGCCATGTGAACATCTCACATTGGTAATACTCCTCGTAAACTAACTAATTCTTATTTTTGTATACTTAGCGGCTGAATATTAGATGGAGATATAGCATTTATATCTCCTCTTTTGGGGTTGAAATCGTATTTTAAGGATTCTGTAAAAAATAATTTAAGACTTGAATTAAAAATACGTAAGCTGAAAATTTATTGTACCTATAAATATTTAGTGATCACAACTTAAAAGGTGAGTTGTCAGATCTTTCTTTTTCCTTTTTTTTATTTTTGTCTTTGCCTATTTTGTGTGTTCATTTATTGCTGAGCATTTATGTTGTTCAAAGTTATACTTTGTTATAACTAGGATTTTGTGATCTCATGCATCGCACATTTTCACAACTTCAAGTCCATATTATAAAAACAATATTATTTTTCAGTTTTTTTTTTGTTTTTAAATGTAATTCTTCATTTGAATTTTGAAGCAGCTGATTACAATTCTTCTTCCACGTTAAAATATGGCCAGAAGGGTTGTAGGTTATGTCATTCAGTGACACATAAAATCGTGAAATATGCATAATTGATATTAATGCAATTATGATTTTTATGAATTCTTAACAAATGATTGGTTTATGTTTAATATGTTGGTACATTATTACAACTTAAGAAGCTCACAGCCTATTACTGCTATAATATTTTTATAGCTTTATGCCTTTATTTAGAAGTATGATGTTACAAAAGTTTAGTTTTATTTAATTTCTTATTATACAAATAACTTTTGTTATATTTTCATGTTATGTACATTACAGGTACATGCTTGGTTTAGCTGCTGTGCCAGCTTGTATACAATTCTTTGGATTCTTAGGAATGCCAGAAAGTCCTCGATGGTTGGTTTCTCAGAAAAAGTAAGTACATAATTTAATTCTGTTTTTCTGCATAAATATTTTTCTCGGCAGTTCTGTTTCCAAGAATAATAAAATGAAAGTGTAGAAGCACTTGTACTTTTAATTATCTACAGTTGTAATACTAAGATACTCAGGCTCGTGATGTAGAGAATCAATTATGACGTCGTAAACCTGGTGGTAGTACCCAATCAGGCACCATACTTCATTGCCCATGTACATGTGACTGACTCCAGGCAACCCTGATGAATGCACCAGAATTTTCACACTTCACATGTTCCCTAACTTTAATAATCTGTTAATTTGTATTAATTTTGCAGAATTTACTTTTGCTACAAAAATTCTTAGGCCAGAATACTGATCCTTTAAGCACTGTGTTTGGTATATAATTCCATAACAGCAAAAGGACTAATAGGTCATTACTAATTCATGTTTAATGATGATCAGCTTTCCTTATTGTTTCATAATGACTATCATATTTGCTGTTGTCATGGAACTGTACAAAAAAAAACACCTTTTATGTTACCAGGTACGGTGAAGCTTTGAAGGTATTGAGATCTATACGCGGGGATGATTTTCCTATTGAGGAGGAACTGGAAAGCATTAAACAAGCCTGCGTGGAGGAGGAAAATGAATTACGAGCACGAGAGCAGTCAGGAAGTAGAAGTTCTGTCTGGTTACAGATCCTGACAACAAAATACACTCGGAGAGCTTTGTTTCTTGGCTGTCTACTTCAAGGCATTCAGCAACTTTCTGGAATAAATACTGTCATGTAAGCTATTATACAGCTACTTATGCCATTGTGATGCGTGGTATGTCATATTCCGCTAACCCTAGGGGCTAGGTGCTCTGCATTTTGGATTAATTTTCTGCGTGATGTATCCGTGTCATTTCAGAATTTTAGTTTCCCTGGAAACTTCAGAACCTGTACAGTAGCGTTATGTTCATATATTAGACATTTTTACTTATCCTATCGTCGTGGTAAGATGTTCATCAGTTAACAGACTCGCCTGCATGCATATTGCCCTTATATTATTAACGAAGCAGATTATTCACCCTCACGCCCCTATATGAGCATAAAATATACTTGAAAGTTTTGAATTAAAAAGTTGTTTGGTGTTGCTTTGATAGTAAATTGAAAATACAGGGGTTGAGGTTTCCAAAATGTGAATAACAAAATATTGTATTCTTTGTTGCATGTTGTTTAATTTGCTTTGTTCAGTCTAATGTACCTTGACAGATGTTTTGTGGTTTTACACTCCCTCCTGAAATAGTTTGACAAATATATATACAGTTTTAATCAGGAAACCTGACAGGAATGGGCCATTTGGGAGACAGATATTCATATTCATAGATAGATTCTTGGTTAGTTGGTTAATTAGTAATTTCCTTATTTTATTAAAGTGCATTTTCTATACGAATTACAATTTCTGTTATTGTACTATCCCGTCTCTGCCGCTATGTTGCCGATGGTTGCTACATTATTGATGCACTTTATGCGATAGTCTCCGTGAAAACCAATTTTACAGTGCATTTAATAACAATGAAAAGTCATGGCATGAAATGTTTGGTACTTGTAGGTTATCCGGACACATCGCTTTAAAAATAGGTTAGGTTAGGTAGGATTAGGTTAGGTTAAGTTAGGTTGGGTTAGGTTAGGTTAATGTGTGTGGATAAATGACATACTTGAAATCATACATCGAGGAAACGATGAATAGCGCGAAATATTTATATCAATTTTAATTTTTAACATCAATATTAATATAGTTTGTGTATAGACTTGAAGAATAAATATATGTATGAATTGAAAACACAAACATGACGCATCTAAACTATAGACATACTTGAAAGTTATTATATTTTATTTCAATAAATGACAACTAACCTAACCTATCCCGATAACCCACGAGTACCAAATTTTTCTCTTGTATTTGTATCCTTATTTGGTCTCCTAAATGGGGTTCCAGTGCCGTGAAGTCACTTCTTCCTCTAAATGTTGGTCCTGAAAGACACTGTTGATGTCGCTATGTTATTAAAATGTTGCTATAATTGTATTTTATTTTTCAGGTATTACAGTGCGAGCATTATTCAAATGGCTGGAGTGAAAGATTACTCCGTTGCCATTTGGCTAGCTTGTGCGACAGCGTCCATAAACTTCTTCTGCACTTTCATCGGCCTGTTTCTTGTGGATCGAGTTGGACGAAGACCACTCACACTTTGGTCTCTTGGAGGCAAGTGGAGCAGAATATTGTATTGGTGTGTGAGAAATGACTTCATGGTGTAGGTAGGTTATTTTAAGGCCACTTTTAATTTATAGCATCAGTAATAAGCCATGGATTGTTCGAGTTATAGATTGAATGTTTAGGGGAACAGTATATTCCATTGCAGATTTATCTGCTACAAATCCATATGAATTTTTTATGGTTTTTGTTATGGCCACACGATGAAGTGAGTAAACTCAACAAGTACAATAATTCATCCGCTGTTTCAAGTAGGATGAAATACTGACGTAGCGTACTTATCGTTTGCAGGTGTCGTCATTTCGTTGATCATTTTGGGAGTTGGATTCCACTTAATGACTCTTGATGCACCCCCAGTGACACTAACGGGCGACAGTAGCTGTTCGTGGGCTAAGTAATTATCCTTTATATAAATGTTACGAATGTCGTGTGATAATGGAAAATAAAAGTGAGTTAATTTAATTTTTTGAGTCTTCGTTGGCTGTAACATTCAGCAAATGAATAAGAAATTGTACGTTACCGAATTTCTTATCTGTTTATTTCTTTATTACTACGCTTCCGTCATCTTCACGCATATTGCGTATTTGTTGCTTGAATGATAAAACTTTGTTTAATAAGACATGGGTTAGTACAGTTTTTCTGATGTTTTGGTAACAAGAATTAAGACTCGTTTACGGTAGCATGTCTTGACCATTTTCTAGAAACATGTATTAAGTTATTAACCTTGTGGTTAAACAACATGAAATTCAAGGGAGTTTGGAGTGCAGTCGACTCTTACACTCGTTTGTCTAATTTTTGTTACACAACAGATGTGCCCACGCAGTAGTCGGGTGACTCGGATAAATGCGTGCTTTAGAAATAATGTTTTATTTTGCTGCTTTACTTTTTTGTAACACGTCATAGAGTTGAATTACTTGTCATCTTTTACGATATCATAAATCTGGATATCTGTACTGTTCACAAAGTTACCGCCGTTGACTTGTAACGTGCGAAATATATACAATAGTTTACTCAGAAGACGAAGACATGTTTTTGAGCTTACTGTTTAAATACATAACCTTAAATTCTGCATTATTGCAGGTCTTGCACAGAATGTATAAGTGAAGATTGCGGTTTCTGTTACTTGGATTTGCCTTCTGGAGTAACTAACGGATCTTGCTGGTCACAAAACCCCCGTGATCCGTCTTCTCACCCAACGTCAGGCATCTGCAGTAATGCGACAGCAATGAGTGAGAACGCGAGGCTCACGTGGGCTGTGGACTGGTGTCCGTCAAGGTATTCCTGGGTAGCGGTTGTTGCGCTTGGAATATACCTGCTCTTCTTTGCACCAGGTAACAACTCGCAGACGTGGTGAGAAATGGAGAATTTCTTATTATAACTAAAGATCGTATAAAAAGGACCCACATTTGTGACTAACTTGTTCTTGAATAATTTAGCTGTTATG